GCCCCAATATTTAGGCTTATGCTATCACGTCAAGATGACTATATGAGACCTCAAAGGTGTTTTGAACACTGAGCTAAGTAGTAAGGAATAGGATGAGAATCATCGTGTCTCAACTTGTAATTACTCCTCTTTGAAGCTCACTTACCTTTTAGCTTCTCAGCAACCAGCACTTCAATTTCTTTCAAGCTTTCCCCCTGGTGGGTGTCCATGTGAGTGCTGATGCTGGAGAGAAGGGGAGTGGAGACAGGGATTCAAAGATGATGGGACCCTTCAACATAAGGAAATGTTGGAGCTCACATACTTGCAGCAGTACACTTTGTTTCTTTGTCCATGACAAAGTTGTTGTTTTTCCAGAAATGAACAGCAGGAGGTGTGATCAACAAAATGGTATTAAAACTTTTGTTTAAAATAGAAACTGAAAAGAAAAGCCAAATGATGTGGCCTTGTCTGTGGTTCCTTTACTCTCTTCTGCTCCCAATTCACAAATCTTGACTTGACAAATGTACTGATTTTTGCCTCAATAATTGCAAGCTAAAATAATGTGTTATTGCTTTTTGATCTCTAGGCATGGAGTTTATTCATTTTGGTGGGATTTATAGGAGAGTTCCAAGTTTTTGTAAGGTGAGATTTTTTTGGATTGTGTATGTAAAGTATTAAAAGTGATTTTTTTTTTCTGAATTGTACATGTGAAAACGTGTTAAAATGGCAAGTGTTATGTTACATATATAGTTACCACAATTAAAACATTATGTTTGTATTCTTAGGCCATTCTTCATTAGCGTCTGATTTTTCCATTGCCACCTGCTTGCGTTTATACTTCCAGAGCTTTTTCTACATTTTTAGAAAAAACAAGGGTAGCAGAAGAATATTTTCTTTAATTTTTTTTTCTCTGGTGGAAAAGAACCTTTCAGATTAAAAACATGTCGGTGTCTTTGCTTGGCTCAGTACCATTTGTTCTTGTTGTTGTTGTCGTCATGTATTGTTGAGTGTCTCCTACTCATAGCGACCTTATGTACAACAAAAGGAAACATTGCCCGGTCCTGTGCCAGCCTCATGATCCCTACTATACCTGATCCATCACTGCAGCCACCGTGTCAATCCATCTTGTTGAGGGGCTTCCCCTCTTTCGTTGACCCTCCACTTTACCAAGCATGACATTCTTCTGCAGAGAGTGGTCCCTTCTGACAACATG